AGAGCCAGAATGCCAGGGGGACTTTCTGAGATGTCAATAAGACACCTGCTACTGGGGTTCATCACAAGGGAGAAAAGAAAGTCCTTCACATCTGTGATCTCACAAAACCACCCTGCTCCATGAACCAGTTATACGTCGGAAGAGCAGGATGCTTGGACAGCAAAAATGAATGAAAACCGAGGAATGTGGTTCATAGATATTTAACATGGAAAAGTATTTAGCAGATTTTTTTCAAGGCTGGCCACTCTCAGACAACCACTGCAAGGCAAACTGAACTATCCACTGCCCAAGATAAGCCTGAGAAAGAGGTGAAGAAAGTTGATGGTGGCAAGGGAGATGGTACAATGAAAATGATAGCATTCATGGGGAAAGTACAGGCTCTTAGCAGTGGCCAGCTCTCTTCACTGAAGTCACTGAAGCTGAGCATTTCCCTGAGACCTCTTTTCCTTACATATTACACAGTCTCAGATACTGCCTTACAGCAGTGCAAATTATTGGCATGATACCTGTTTGTTCCATGTCGGCTATTGTTCCCAAACAATGGGATTGCAAATTCTTTCAGTCCATCCCCAAACACAGTGCCCTCCCCTCCATACTGTGTGTGGATCCTCTGCCCGCCCTGCTAGGACCAGCTCTGAAATCTGCAGGGTCAAAGGTGATTCTCTGGTTAACATATACCAAATGCTTTCCTTTGCAAGTCAGAGATTTTAAACCACAGCCCCCTCCCTCTCTTGAACATTCATTTCTTTACTGCAAACAAGCAAAACATACTGTTTTCCTTGAAATTCTGCATGTTCAGCGGGATAATTTTGGGCATCGAGGTGGATTGTAATGCAAATGCCCTTGATTTTCTTGGGACTCTCTTTCTCCTGTGAATTTCAGTGAGTGATAGGCTCCCTTGAAATAAATGCGCTTTTGATAGATGAAAATTCTCTTTTCCCATGTGAAATGTGCTTGGTGGCAGATACTTCCATTTGGCAGAATTTGTTTAATAACTCAGCGTCATGTGGGCTCAGCTGGGCAGAGCTGAAAGATGAAGAGAGAATCTGGGGCTAGGACCCAGAGGGCCCGGGATGGGTCAGGGTAGAGACCAAGATACAGAAAGCTAAAAACTGGGGTCTCCACATCAACCAAGAACCAGGAACTGGGGTGACTTGTAGGTGACTAATAGGTGCAAAGAACACAAATATGGAGTCAAGGTAAGCAAGCGTGGGAGGGGTGGGTACAGGTGGACAGAACTCAGGAGGGAGAACAGTATCAGAGCAGCTGTGGCTTATTCTGTCCTTTGTGTTAGAGCAGCTGCATTTTGAGCCCTGCTCTAGCTCATTATATGGAAGAATTCTCTTCTTATGAGAGCAATCTAACAAGATAGGCAATCCAGGAGAGATGAGCTTCTTGTCACCAGAGGTGTGCAGCTCCCAGCAAGGCTTCCTATGCTGAGGAGCTGGTGGGACTGGATCGGGTGAGGTCCCTCCTGCACTCAGACACTGTGTTGTGTCACTCCTTGGGGGAGCCCCCTGCCATGGATCCCCATTGACCTCCAGGTCACAGGCTGGTTCCTGGCATGGCCTCCAGGGCCTTCTCTGACTTGGCCCCAGCCTCCTCTCTGGTCATTCCACCACACTGCCAGTTGTCTGGGTTTTATCTTAACACCCCTGGAATCATCTCAGTGTGTGCTGTTTTCTCTTGCATCTGGGCCCTTCCCTAGCCCTTTACCTGTTACACTGACCTCTTCTTTGTCCTTCACCTGGTTAACTCTTGCTCATCCTTCGAGCCCCTTCCTCCTGGAAGCCCTTTCCTGAGCCCTGAAAATAGCCTAGTGTCTCCTCTGGGCTTCCATTGCCCCTGGTTCTTCCCATTCATAACACTTAATACACTGCTCTGGAATTCTGACTCATTGCACTGGGAGCAACGAGAGGCAGGGAATTGTCTGTCTTGTTCATTTTTCAATCCCCAGTGCCCAGTGCCCTACCTGGCAGCTAATAATGCTCAATGCAGTCCTGTTGCTTTTCAAGTTGTTGAATATCTGCAGTCACTGGACCACAGCTGCCCTGTCCCCTGAGCCCTTCTGGTCAGTCCCTTAGACTGCCGGCTGAGCTCAGAGATTGGGTTTTGTGGCTAACTTTGGAACACTGGGTTCTGACGTTAATTAATTTTTAAAATCAGGTTTTCCCCATACTCACTGAGTATGGAGATTTTTTAGAAGGTTAATTGAGGCAAAAATGAGAGAGAACATCTGTCTTTTATCCCCAGTGAGAGGATGGCGTCCTCCATGAAGAGGCAACGTCACTAATGAATGAAGCACTTAGCTTGGAGGGACCAGGATTCTAATTCTGGATCCTCCATTAACCTGCTGTGTGACCTTGGACTAACTGCCTATCCTCTCTGGGCATTATTCATCTGGCAAATATTTGTTGCAGTCCTACATGTTCCTAGCACTTTGACACGGTTGAACACAGACAAGATTGAATACACACATGATTTCTGTCTTCATAGAATTTACAGTTTAATGGAGAGACAGCCAGTACATCAGCAAACAGCCAAATATCCGAGTATCTCAATACAAATTGTGACAAGAGCTACAAAGGAACTGAACAGTGTATGGTAACAACAAATAATGCAGGTGCGTGTGGACGAAGCTCCTTAGATAAAGAAGCGGCAATTTTAAAGTCTGAAGGTTACAAAAAAGCCAGTGATAGAGTGCTCCAGGCAGATAAATAATGGCTGTGCAATGGTCCTGGGGCATAAATCATTCAGAAATAGGAAGAAGGCCAATGTGCCTGCAGAATAATTGGTGAATAATCGGAAAAATCTCAAGTGTGAAATGAGAATGATAATGTATGTCTGCATAGCTCACTTCCAGCGTCTTACCAAGTAGCAAGTGGTAGATCACATTTTGCCTAGTATAAGCACGTAATTGTTGCTCAGTAAACAGCTAAATGAATGATACAGTGATTCCTTTGACAGAATAAAAATATTTGCATTGGTAATTATTATCTAATTAAGACCAATTATTACTTTCGTTAATACATTTCAAAGACTCGGGTTTGGCCTTCAGTATTATGAAGGATAACGGCAGCCACTTAGATTCAAATCTGTCCCTACATCCTCCTGAAAATCTTACAGAACAAAAAAGCAGAGCAAATAAAACTACTCTCGGCTCATGTCTATAGCATAACTAGGAGTCAGAAAACATTAGAAACTTCAATGTACATTTAAGTGGGAAAACAAATATCTCAAGCCAGCGAGGCTGACTGTATATCCACAGCACAGCAGAAGGTCAGGCAGAGACTGTGGCAAGGTCCTAGAGTGGCAGAATTCAGAGGACACTAACCAAATCTCATCCCAAGAAAGAGAGGTATTTCTCCAGCCTGAGTAAGAGCACCACAAAAAACAGGTCTGAGACCCGGTAAATTAAATATTGCCTATGGGAAGTCAAAAATAAGAGGGCTCTAAAGAGGTCCCCCTACTACAGGTATAGCCCTTGAGACTGTGCTGCTCCCAGGAAGAGGAAGATTCTTAGAAAGGAGAGTATCCCTTGGGGGCTTGAAGGTGAAAAGAAAGAAAAACATGACCCCGCCCCACAAAATCCCTCAAGCAAGGGAGTATCAAAGAGTCAGAAAAAGTCAAATTAAAAAGCCCTGTTAAAGGATCCATTGTTTTCTGTAGCAATTGAGAAAGAGATTTTAAACTTAGAACCAAGTAAGCCACTCACACCACTCCCTCCCACTCTATGCTTATGTTAGGAAAGTCCAACTGAAATAAATAATAAACATTAAAATAACACAACATCCACACAGAGTTACTTTAAAAAGAAAATGGAAAATGAGAATCAAAACATTACAGCAGATGAAGACATGCACACAAAAGACCTGCCACAGGAAAGCTATAACACGACACTCCAATAGGGGTGAAGATACTTAAAAAATCAATTTTAGATATTAAAGATTGATACTTGTTGACAAGTTCAAAACTCAAAATATAGTGTCAACAGGAAGGCATGAAATGGGAGCTGGCTGGACTCAAGAAATGGAAAGAAACATAAAAGCATACGAAAAATACAGAATAAATTACAAGATACTCCAGGGGAGAACAGATACACCAAGAAGATGGAAATGAAAAGAGCCAAGAAAACAAATCCAAAAGAAAAGGTTATAAGGACTGGAGAGAGCATGACAGATATTGAAGACAGGCAAAGAAGATTCATGTAAGTATCATCAGAGTTCTTGAATTAGAAAAGAAAAACAAAGGACCAGGACCCTTAATTAAAACTATAATTCAAGAACTTTCTGAAACAAAAGAAGACATGAATTTACACATTGAAAGGGATGCTCAGAATGATCACCTCCCAGTCATGCCCTAGTAAAAATATTAGCTATTCAAGTAGAAGAAAATACTCTCTGAGCTTTCAAACATGAAGACCAAGGAAATAAACTAATCTTGGAACTACTTTTATCAATAGCAACTATCTTTTTAAATGTTTATTTAAACATTTAAATAAACCTGCACGTGCAGAATGTGCAGGTTTGTTACATAGGTATACACATGCCATGGAGGTTTGTTGCATCCATCACCTCGTCATCTACATTAGGTATTTCTCCTAATGCTATCCCTCCCCTAGCCCCCCACCCCCTGACAGGCTCTGGTGTGTGATGTTCCCCTCTCTGTGTCCATGTGTTCTCATTGTTCAACTCTCACTTATGAGTGAGAACATGTGGTGTTTGGTTTTCTGTTCTTGTGTCAGTTTGCCGAGAATTATGGTTTCCAGTTTCATCCATGTCCCTGCAAAGAACATGAACTCATCCTTTTTTATGGCTGCCTAGTATTCTATGGTGTATATGTGCCACATTTTCTTTATCCAATCTATCACTGATGGGCATTTGGGTTGGTTCCAAGTCTTTGCTTATCAACAGCAACTGTCTTAGCGCATTTGTATCACTATAACAGAATACCTAAGACTGAGTAATTTTATAAAGAATAGAAATTTATTTCTCATGATATGAAGGCCAAGAAGTCCAAGATTAAGGTGCTGACATTGGTGCTGGTCAGGGCTTCTCCCTGCTTCCAAGAAGTGCCTTGTTTCTGTGTCTTCACATGGTGGCAGGTGGAAGGACAAGAAAGGGATGAACTCTGTGTCCTCACATGGCAGAAGACTGCAAGAGAGTAAACCCACTCCTGAAAGCCCTGTTATAACAACTTTGATCCATTTTTGAGGATCCCTCCTGGGACCTAAATACCTCCCAAAAGGCTCCAGCTCCCAACATTGTTGCTCTGAGGATTAAGTTTCTAGCACATAAATTTTGGGGCACACATTCAGACTACAGCAGCAATATAGAGAGCTAGTCATCAATAGAGTAATGTTTCCAAGAAACTCAAGTTAAAATAAACCTGGAAGGAATTTTATGTTCAGTGATCTGTCTTTCAATATAAAGACTAAGAAAAAATAGTTCAAATGTAAAAAAATTATAGAATATTGCATTCATGAGTCCCTTCTGGCAAATCTATCAGAGGAAGAAATTTATCCAGCCAGGAGATGATTGTGGAAATGTTGACAGAAGAACAGATTTTGATCATTGGATGTATTTAATCATAGATATATAAATCTAAAATTTAGATTTCCACAAAGATGGAAGAATAGTGTATAAATGTTCTATATCCTGAGAAAGTTGAAATCATATGACTAAAAAGGAGGAAGGGAGAGAAGGGAAAGGTAAAAATAAGCTAATTATTGCTGCATAGGTGAGAATCAAAGAGCATCATCTAAAGTCAACAAAGCAAACAGTAGTTAATATAAGTAAGGAAAGGAGATGCACAGCATTAAGTAAGGCTGTTAGTATGAATACAACCACTAAAGCAAATATTCAAACCTTTCTGAACACCAAATGAAAGGAAAACATAAGACGAAAATCAGATTGGCTTATGAAATAAAACTCAACTCTACCCAGTTTTCAAGACATATATCAGAAACTGAGTGAGTTGGTAAGGCTAAAAATAAAGGATTGAGCCAAAGTATGCAAGGCGAAAAGAAATCTGATCCCTTGACCTATCACAAGATAAAATTCAGGCCAGAAAAATTAAGTAATACAAAGCAGAACACTTAATAATTACAGGCTGCAATTGACAAAGAAGACTTAACAATATGGATATCAACACAGAAAATAACATAGAGCAGCAGTCCCTAAACTTTTTGGCACCAGAGAACAGTTTCGTGGAAGTCAGGTTTTCTGCAGACAGCAGTGGGAGTGGGAATGGTTTCAGGACGAAACTCTTCCACATCAAATCATCAGACATTAGATTCTTATAAGGAGTATGCTGCCTAGATCCCTCACGTGTGTAGTTCACAACATGGTTCACAGTCCTATGAGAATCTAATGATCTGAGAGGTGGTGGAGCTCAGATGGTAATGCTCACTCACCCACCTGCTGTGCAGCCTGGTTCCTAGCAGGCCATGGACCAGGGATTGGGGACCCCTGACATAGAGCAATCTTCAAAAAGCAGAAGCTATAGGAAATGCAAACAGAAATATATAGAAACCACTAATGATGGGAGATTTTAAATATCACTCTCACTCCAAAAAGGTGAAGTGGACAAAAGATAAAAATGGATAACATTTCTAAACAACAAAATCAGTAAGATAAATCTTATATATCGCTATCAAAATTTACACCCTGATGGTACAGAACACACCTTTTATTCAAGTGCACATGAAACATTCATAAAAATTAATGATACACTGGATTACAGTGGAAACTTTTATAAGTTCCAGGAAAAACAATATAGACAGACTGCATAGACAAACTTTGTCATGAAAAATAATCAAGAAGAACAAATACATGAAATAATAAAAGACAAGGAAGAAATAACCATTGAAACAGAAGAAATCAGTAAGATCACTTTGTATAATTGAGTGTAAATTTTAAAGCCTAGATGGAATGAATAATTTTCTAGGAAAAATATCATTTACCAGAATTGACGCAAAGGGAGAAAGCTTAAATAGATCAATGTCCATAATAAATAAAGTGATGGAATAACCAACCATAAAACTACTGCTCCACATGGTTTCAGAGGGGAATTGTTATACTATTCCTTCAAAAATCAGATAATCCCAGTGCCATTTAAACTGTTTAAAGTAACAGGAAAATAACGCAAATTTTGAATTTCATTTGTACAATGAAAATAATATTGATACCTTAACCCAATAAATATTGTGCAAAAAAGCTACAGACCAATCTCACTTATCAATAACTACACAAAAGTCATTTTAAAAAGCCCAATACACATTGAAAATAATACATATGACCAACTTTTATTACAACAATTCAAGAATGATTCAATATTAGGAAATTAATGTAATTCTAATAATTAACAATTCAAAGAAGAAAAATAATACAGTTATCTTCATAAATTCTCTTCTTAAGATAATACAACTCAATATATCCTCAAAGGAATAAATAAATTTAGGCCAACTGCAGTAAAAATACCAACACCTTTTTTTTTCTGAAACTAGACAACCTGATTCTAAAGTTCATATAAAAACAAACAAGAACAGCTAGGGAGCCATCAAAAATTTAGAGCAATAGTCAGAGGAGCGAGTTCTCTCAGACACTAAACTATACAAGAAAACCTCTAAAATTAAAATTATATGGTATTAACACATAATTTGACAGATATATCAATGGAACGGATTGAAAGACCAGAAATAGACCCACTACACATGGAAATTTGATGTTACTAAAAGGAGGAATCTCAAATCTTTGGAGAAATATGAACTTTAACACAAATGATATGGGACAACCAGTTAGTCACTTGGGAAATCATAAAATTGGATTGTTATATCATACCTAAATAAATTTATGGATAGAGGAATGGATAAAAGAAAAAAGATCCACAAGACTGCAAAGTGGAACACGGCCTGGAACAGCAGTTGTTCCTGGGGTGTTAGAAGAATGAGGGGGGAACTGAGCTAGAAAGGATGGTTGAGCCAGGTCATGGCAGGCCTGGAGTGCTGTGCAGAGAAGTCTGGGCTGGCTATGCTATACTAAACACCCTTGAACACAAATATTCTTATGCACTTTGGTTATTCCATAGATTGGCGATAGGGAGCCATGGAAAGTTTGTACATGGGGGTGGACATGGGCACACAGTGATGTGTTCCCCACCTTCTTCTCAATAGAAGACCATTTTTAAACAAATGCAAACAAACAAAGCCTGCAGAAAGAATTGGAGCAAATTTTTGATGTGTTATTTATAAACTGAGGATTGGTCAAGTGGAAAGAAAAACCTTAACAAGATTAAAAATTGATGCACAAAGAACCACTCCGTGGCTTGTAAAAGCCCTTAGTAAAAAAGGAAAAAATGAAAAGCTGTTTCATAAAAGATTGAAGCTCCAGGGTATTAAAGGTTTGAGCACAAGCAGAAAGCTCTCTTGGCACCATAGTTCTGTAATAAATTGGAGTGTCGCTATGGTGGGAAGGCTTCATGGGGAGCAGGCACTTTCTGTGCTGGTTGGAGCACTGGTTATTGTCCAAGGGCTTGGGAACCACCAAATCTGGAGTGGATCTTTCCATCCTCTCATCATACCACACAGCCAGAGGCCAAAGTTGGGGGCATCACAGAACTAGAATCTCTCAGACTTGGAAAGACTAAAATTGTCACAGCATCCTCTGTGCTTTCTCATCCCCATCAAGAGATCATCTGTATTTTCTTCTCCATGAAACAAACAGAGCATTTATCATTTGTTTCTGACCACAAAACTAACAGATGTTCACCAGTAATTTGAAAAACATGAAAAAGCTCAGAGAAGAACATTTTAAAAATCACGCATCATTTTATCATCCAGAGAGAGTTATATACATTTTTTATAAAATATAATCATATTGAATATGCTATTTTATAATATGCTTGCTGCATCTAATCATGTATTGTAAAATTTTACCCATGTGAATGAACAATATCCTATGATAACATTAAAAACTCCTACTTAACCAATCCCCTTTTCTTGGACATTAAAGTTACTTCCAATTTTATTTTAATGATAAATAATACTATAGAAAACACTCTTGAATACAAATATTCTTATGCACTTTGGTCATTCCATAGAAAACAACTTTTTATTTTTTATTTTTATTTTTATTATTATTATTTTTTTGAGATGGAGTTTCCCTCTTGTTACCCAGGCTGGAGTGCAATGGTGCAATCTCGGCTCACCACAACCTCCGCCTCCTGGGTTCAGGCAATTCTCCTGCCTCAGCCTCCTGAGTAGCTGGGGTTACAGGCATGCGCCACCGTGCCCAGCTAATTTTTTGTATTTTTAGTAGAGACGGGGTTTCACCATGTTGCCCTGGATGGTCTCAATCTCTTGCCTCGGCCTCCCAAAGTGCTGGGATTACAGGCGTGAGCCACCACGCCCGGCCCGAAAACAACTTTTTAAGATAGAAAATCATGTTTTTCCTTCCACATGAGTCATATTGTCCTGTGGCTCTCCATGCATTAAATCAACGATCTTTATTTCTTCAGGAACAGGTGCGAATACCACCTGACATTTAGGCGAAAAAAATCATCGTCCTACTTTAAATCAGACTAGAGTTTTGAGGCAATAGCTTAAAAGATAGGTTTTGTTAAGAAAGATTCAAGTTCTTTAAATTCTAAATGCTCCTTTACCATCAAGAACTAGAGCCTGGTGATCTTGGATTGTGCGATTTTTCCATAAAGTCACATTATAGAGAAGATGATGATTGATAAGGTAAGTTTCCATCAGAGAGAAAGGGGAAGGAAAGGAAAAATGAGAGAGGAGGAAATACACCAAGTGGAGACTCAAGTGTCCTGGCTGTCTTTACCGTGGAAATCCCAGGGAAGGAATAGGTCGTAGAAAGGACTTACGTATATCACAGGTGGAAGGTTGAAGGGAAATACACTTATGCTCCATTGTACCTTTCATTACTCTGGGAGGCAGCACCTTTATAGGGCACTCTTGCACCAACATGGGTAGTGGAAAGGAATTCAGGTGTGGTACAATTAGGCTGAGAGAGAGCCCAGTTCCTTTCTCTGTATCACATAGAGGAGCTGGAAGTCCCCATATGCCCTAGCAGGAAACGCGGCTGAGGTTGCCAGGGTGTAAGCTCACCACAGACACACACAGTCACTGGCAAAAGGG